ATCCACAGTAATTACGCAGCTGGATCTTGTGACTACCATTTCCTTGTACATGTAGTATTTTATATGTATAAGTCTTACCAGCCTTCAACTGTTTTCAATGTAGTCTTTTGAGATTGTATTTGTATTACAAGCCCTGTGTGTAAAACCACAGTCCGAGGGACTGTGGTAAAACAAATCGACGCCAATCATAGTTATCTTTCATTCACGTGGAATTCATATATAGTTATTGTCGTCGTTGCCATGGATACGAATTAAAAGTCTTATGTTTATCCAACTCAAAATGAATTTTATGGAACGCATTGGCATGTAAACACTAAATGTGTCACGTGACGTGGTTTTATTAACAGTGACGTAGTAATTTACTTCCTCTCAATTATATAGCTAAAGTATTATAGTTGCCGCACACTGAGTGAACACAGGTGAGTTCAACTAACGAATGACTTATTTGTCGTTACATTGAGAAACTTGGTCGAATTAACTAATCAATACCTCGACCCACGCGACGGTAAGATGAGTTTCGGTGTATTTTTATATGGGGCGTCTCTCTTGCCTGATATATGTGAAGATTTCAAGTGCAAACTACGCATATAGTTCTTGTGTTTATATTGCAAGTTTTGAGCTACGTGCCATTGCCGTTGTGAGACCATTTTATTCGCTATAGCAGCATCATATAGACCCTGTAGATCACACCAAACTTTGAAGAGCCGTACAACACCAAGTGTTAATCAATGTTTTGTGTATATTTAGCCTTCCCATTGAAGTTGTAACACAATTGCATATCGGTACAAGTTCAACTAGTTGGTGTTTCCAACAATGATTTGAACTCGGGAACTTTTATTCATCATATAGAGCGTGAAGAGTTTGAAGTTGTTTGAGGCACAAATTGTTGAGTATAAAAACAAAAACGAGAGATTCCTCTGTTTTTGTTTGTTTACTACAGTTTACCCAGCCTTATGCTTGTTGTCATGGATTTACAACTCACACTTGGGGTGTGCTTATCAAAGGATTCCTATTCAGTACTTAATAGTATTGTAATAGACAATGGACACCTCCAAGCTCTATGAATAGACCCCAACAACCATATATCAACTTTATTCGAATAGAATGGCAGCATTCTCAATAAAGGTAGTCATTGAATAATTCTTCCCGTCCAAATGTTGTTCACTTTGAAACAAATAAACACAAATTCTATTCGCCTACAGGTGATGGCAGTAATACAAGATTTTTCCCCCATGCTATTCGGCTGGAAATACTAAAGATTAAAGGCGGTGGTCGTCGCACCGCGCATATCCGACATTTGTGTTGATAAACGTTGACGTTTCCCAAAATCCAATACGTTCTTTTAATGAAATCCCGAGTAGGAGTTTTGACCTGGGCGAAACTTGCACTAATTACCTCTGGTGACTACTTCGATACCTTCCAAACACCAAACAAAATATCTAATTATAGCTTGCTAACCTCTTAGCTTGTACTCGTTGCGCAACAGTCAAAGTCGCCATCTTTGTTTATATGAGACCCAGTCTCGCGCATGCGTGGCGCGACGACCACCGCCCTTTAAATGCATTATACATAATACCACAGTTTCTATTTTGTATTACCATAGCATAGCTATAGTTTTGACATAAAAATTTGGACCACCAAAACAGACTTATCAATGATATACTTTGGTTCCGTCACATGATGGAAATTGAGAGAGTGATATCTTTTCTTATAAATCTGTTATGATATTAGAACACGCATATAAACATAAAACATCATGTGTGAGATATATACCGTATCTCAAAAATATTGACAGATCGATTTTCGCCATGAATGGCAAATACACAGTATTTCACTTGGTTTCCATAAGTGTTACTCGTGGAATAAATAAAAGGCACATTAAAAATAATAAATTCAAGTTCCCAGAAAAGAAATTCAATTGATTCACGTTTCTGATCGACTTTTTTTTTGAGAAAATATCAAAAGTTTACGTAATACCATGTGCCGCCACATAGAACGCCCGGACAGCGCTAACTTGAAATCGCACCCTCCATTGGTATATAGCGCGTAGCAACGGTGGCCTTAGTGGCTTTTTTCCAGCCAAGTCTCGCTGTTGACATCTGTCAGGAGTGTAATTCGATAAACAATTAATAAATTGTCAAATGTATAAATTTCTAAATATAAAAGTATCTGATCTACGACGACTGCTATTCTGTGAGAAAGTGACAGACTGTTATGGGAGTAGACGGTGGAATGTTTGGTTCAAGTTTTCGAAAATAAACTGAATTTACTCACAATATACATCATACACAGTAGATTCAGCAAACGATAAATAAAATTGTAATATACCGTAATATTGCGTAATTGCGAGATTTAATATTAAATATATGTATATCAAATCTCCAATTCCAATATATTGTAATTTCATGTAGCATTTCATGTTCGCTATGGTAATATAATTACAAACAATAAACAAATATTTTGTTCAAAAAGACAACAGAATAACAATTGTGTTGATTATTTAAACACGTCAATCTGAGGCGCGCGTACGTATTGTGCTTTGTCATGGTGTTTTCATTTCACATACACAATTTATGTTTGTTATATAAACAGTAAGAGACATTGATTTCTCAATGTTTTAACAGTTAACGTTGCTCAGTTAATAATTAGTAAAATCTGCTTTGTTTTGCAGAGTGTATATTTTTTACAGGTCACCGTTAATACAGGACTAAACTAAGCTCTACTATGGGAAAGCTACTCGTCACCATGTGTATTGGTACGTGTACATAACCTACACTAATGATGTCATTTTGTACAATATATATATGTAATTGTACACAACCCTTTTTGATGTTCATATTTCACCCACAATCTTCATCTTTTTTGATGGTGTAACTTTGTCGCCATGCGAGACAATATGATACAGTACTCACGTTTGACGCCCTCAGTGACCAAATATTTCAACATAATTTGTAAAACTATGATCGTCATCATCATCATTATCATCATCAAAATAATAATCTCTTATTTACGTATGTTTTTGTTATGTTTAGTTGTGCTTGGCTTTTTGTATACGGCACAGGCGTTGGACTGCTATACTTGTAGTGACGCAGGCTCTTCTACGTCATGTCGGGATGACCCTACTTCAGCTAGCGTAGAAACTTGTGGATTGTTTTATGTTGATGCACGTTGTCAGGTAATTATTAAATAGGGAAATACTAAATCCTTGTTTTAACTTGTATTCAATTTATTTTCATTTGTTTTTATTGGCGTTGTGAATCATGGGTAAACAACGTAGTGTGATTTATTGTAAAATAAAAACATTGTTTTTTCAAGAAACAGTGAAGTATTCATTCGACGAATTAGCAAAAATGCTCTTAGATTTAACTATTTACAAATTTGTGTAAGTACATGTATTCAATTTTCTAGAATGATCTAAAACTGTACCATATTGAATTCTATGTTCTTTGTCAAGAAGAAAGTTTATTTCATTTTCACCGTAAGCGGGCGCTCGCGGTCGGTTTCCGCTATATTTCCGGTTTACTTGTACGCATGCGATGCGACAGAGAGGAACTTAAATAACAGACCTTTGACAGACCTGTATCATTCTACATTGAATGTTCATAACCAAATAGTTTGTCGAATAGTAATTTATTTTCTATTTAATTCAGTTACTTTTGTAATATAATCACCTGTCAAAATAGGCATTACTTTTTCGTAGTGACATAAGTCTTGTACATTCTTAGAGAACAATATACGGTTAAATATTTATAAATTTTAAAGGCTGTTACTTTGCTACATTTTACGAATCGAATAATCAAACATCTGCCATCTCCACAAAATCCAAAATTTAAGGGTGTATTATCGGATATATTTTGCAACTAACACGGTATTCCCAAGATATCTTGGTTAGGAATAGATAGCAAATAGCCGAACATCGCCGAACATTCAGGTAGATTCGGCGGTGATCGATTATTCAGCAGTCTCGAGCATTAACATGTCCATCAAACTGACAAGTTGTCCCTTCTTGTTAAATGTATACGTATTATACGAGATTCCATAGTATCCATTGCCATTGTGTCCAAGCGAACATGGAACATTTCGTACTACCTAAGAAACAGAATTCCAAATAAATAATAAATCAGTCAGGTTCTGACAGCATAACTTGCGATGTACTACCATTTAGCATTTGTAGACTACCGACAGTCCTTTAATTTATACTGGTTTATTTCAATAAAAGTATTTATTGAAAAAAAAAAGAAAAGAAAAAAAAAGAAGAAGAAAAGACTACACCTGAAAACCATGATGGTGGGCACCCGTCGTTTTTAGATGAATGGACTACACAACCTAAAAACCATGATGGTGGGCACCCGGCGTTTTTAGATGAATGGACTA